GAAAACAATATTTGATCTTTCAAAAGGCTGACCAGAAACGATACGGGAATAAAACTATCAGGGTTAAATTTAAATACGTAACAAAGTTTTACTCAAGGGAAAATGCCCTTCTTTTGTATAAAAAAACATCAGGTGTTTTATCTTTATTTTTCAACCTTCGAAAAGCTTCAGTTAAACACACACACACACACACACACACACACACACACACACACACCCACACACACACACACACACACACACACACACACACACACACACACGCACGCACACACACTAACACTTCTACCACCACCCACAGCTGCACGGCCTTCTCCTGTCATGGTGATAATCTCTTTGTCAGGAGCCGTCTGTTAGAGATTTGTCCGTCTGATTCTGTGAATGTCCGAGTGGCAGGTCGAGCTGTAGTGCCACAGGGCGTCTGAGGCATCCAACGCGCATGTGTGTGGGTGTGTGTGTGTGGTTCCAGTGACATAGGTGATGGGATCTCTGTCCCTGTCAGAGTCTGTATGTCGCTTGTCTGCAGCACTCTGTTTTGTGAAGTAGGAGGACTGTTGAACTGACAGAAACGTCTATATTTGCACAAGACATGATTGTAATTTGAATTTAATAACGTGTACTCATACTTGTTCTGTGTGCCTGCATACGCACATCCTTGTCTTTCCTCATCTCCACGACAACTTAATCAGATATATGTCAGCGCTCAAATGTTGTTCACTCTGCATTCTAAATGAGATGCTTTTTATAAACCTCATCACTGGGGGAGCATTAACTGCTGGTGGAAGTATCCCTCCACTAGATGGCTCTTCCTTTCGCACATCAATGTTCTGCTTCTATTGCTAATTTAAACATTACTTAGCAAAGGATTAAAAAAATATGTTTTTAGTGATTTCGTTCATTAAAACCTAACAATCAGCTGTAGGTGGGTTCCAGCATATCCTTGTCAAACTTTCCTGAAGTATTTAGAAGTCGACTACATATGATGACTTCCTAAAGATTGTTTTAGTTGGGTTTTGATTATAATGATGCACCGTTTGCATGCATAGGAAATATGTGATGATGGTGCCTAAGTTATGCTGTATAAGAATTGCAAAAAGAGACGTTGCATTGTTCACAACTCAAGAGATTTTATGATATATCTTATAGACAAATATGGCAACATCTCATGGTAAACTCTATTTAACAGGGTGAAAGGAGAGCTGCTGGTCAGAGAGAATGAAGAGACAGGAAAATGCATGGATGCAGCAGTTATTTCAGGAGACAATAATAAAGGGAGTGTAATGTTAAATAGTATGTTTGGTTAAGTAAATTGCTTTAAAAGCTATTTATATTATTAACACTACTTGTGACCAATAAGTGGTGATACTCTATTTAACTAGAATATCACCTGTTTGGTCTTATTGTTTTAGTCAGAAGATTCTAGGATTCTTTTATTCATTAAGGGATTGTACACACTTCGTTGGATTCAAGAAACAGTCAGGTTTTTAAAATTCAAGAATTTATTTCACAAACAATTAAGACTTGACAAACTGGTTAAACTGTTTTACTGTGAGTGGATGGAACTAAGGATGGTGCCTGGAACTTATGTGTGAATATAATGTATTCAGAGTCTCCGTATCTCAGAAATCGGAGTTCTGGATGTAAAGATTTTGGTTTGCAAATAAGCTATGAAGTTGTTATTATCAAAACCACATACAGGCGCTATCTTGCTATGTTCTACCTCACCCGTCCTGAACACCCCCGTTTGGATCCGAGATGTCAAGGAGCCGGCGACCCCACTGCACGTGGCTCATAGAGAAACCTCGATGCAACCAAATCAGTCCTGGGACGTCTCCGGGTCACGACGATAGATGAAACCGAGGGTCTTAAAAATAACTCTGAAGGAGTTTGCGTCAGCGTGCACTGCAGATACTACCTTGTTGTTCTCAGTTTTGCAGGTGCAAAAAAGGTTAAAGGTTTTGACAACGTGTCAAAATCCTTCTGGTTAAAGAGGTTTTCGCTCAGATGGCCGGTCTGAAGCTTTTCTCTAGAACCCTCAAACTGTTGAACTGTTCGAACTGAGGGAAAACCCAGAGCTGGCTAGTTCTAATGGATCGATGTTATGATTGACTAGCCAACCACAGGTTGACAAGTTTGAAGACATTACCAAGCATCTCAGAGACACACCCTCGTTGATGTGGAAACTCTGAATCTAGGCAAAAGGTGAACTATGTTCAATTCAAGTTTATTTATATAGCGCCAAATCACGACAAGAGTCGTCTCAAGGCACTTCACATAATAAACATTCCAATTCAGGTCAGTTCATTAAGCCAATCAGAAATAATGTTTCCTATATAAGGAACCCAGCAAATTGCATCAAGTCACTGACGAGTGTCAGTGACTTTACAGCAATCCTCATACTAAGCAAGCATAAAGCGACAGTGGAGAGGAAAACTCCCTTTTAACAGGAAGAAACCTCCAGAGAATCCCTGCTCAGTATAAGCAGCCATCCTCCACAACTCACTGGGGATCGAGAAGACAGCAGAACTAAAACTATGTGTCACGCGTTAACTTTACTTTACTTTGTTTTCGTATGAGTGTGAATGGTGGTGACCTCATCCAGTAAAAATGCTAAGCATATATCATTAAACACAGATCAATGAACATTGTTTTATAATTATAAAATCTTCTTTCTTCTGGGAATAAAGGAGTTCATTTAAAAGAGTTCCTCTGTGAAGGACCTTGGAGTGGAGAATGTTATCGTTTATCTTTTATTATCTCTGTCAGCCTCTGATTCCAGCTGGCGTGAGGAAGCAGGCTCTGATTTAAAGGGACTACGTGTAGACTTCAAGTCTCCTGTGAGGGGGAAATATTGTAGGTTGTGTCATAGCCAGGTTAAGTTGACCTGACTGTAGATCTTGACCTGTGGGATCTCAAAATCAGGCCATTTTGTGATGTTACAGGAGTATCCATGGTATGGCCTCTTTAATAGGATTATTTTTTCTATTTTGATTAAAATAAAAACCTTCCACTGGGGGAAGCATACGTTGTTTGCCTAGAATTCTAAAAACTAGTAAAATAATCCAAAATTAGATTATATTTTAGCCAAACTACTTTAGTTTTCCCCGCTGGGAGAATTTTTTGTACTCCAAACAGGAAAATTTGATCACATTTAGGAATATTCACCTTATTTAAGTAGTGCTGCTTTTGCAGATGCGATTTTAGAGTAAAAATAAAATGTCCAAAACAAGTTTTTTATTACTTTATTTAAACTCTGTTTTGCAGTGTTTGGCTAGGTTTAGAGAGGTTTCATGTCATATAGAAGATGTTTGTGGTTCTTTGGTGTTTTTGGGCCATGGGATTCTCCCCAATAGGAACAGATTTACACCCAAGTACAATGACAACCTGCAGTAAACTTCTCAGTGTCTTTGTTTGTCACTTTTAGATGTTTGGAGCTCCTCCACAAGACAAGACACAAGACGTGGACAAAAGCCCACCCTGGATCCTCCAGATATTAAAACGAAACCTGAACCACTGCAGCAAACTGATCTGAAATATCAAAATTCCACTTTTATGTACGTCCTGAATCTCCTTTATGACCAGGATGTTGAAGTCAAGTTGAGTTATTGTTTCTCTTTCTCTTCTCCCCGCACCCCGTCTCCTCTTTCGCCTTTCATCTCTCCCCTCCCGACACCTTCTCTCTGCTCTTTCTGTTGTTTGGTCTTCTCTTGTCACTCCACTGCAATCATCCTTGCAGGGGGGCTTGTCATCTGTATCTACTCATATCCTACAATCCCTTCTGCGCTGAGCACTACTGCACTTAAATGTCAGGCCTGATGAGCCTGCCACACCCACCTGACACATCAGCGCAGCGCCTGCTAAAAGCTTTTATGGAGTGTGAGCCTGCTGGTTGCTTCAAATTAAAGATTTTCTTCGTGTTCTCCTTTTTTATGATGGGGGGGGGGGGGGGGGGGGATTATAAGAGTGCACAGACAACTTCTTGGAGAGAGATAGAGATTTACTATGAATGGTTGCCATCTAGTGGCTTTTAATCCGACCTGAAAGCTTCAAATCAGACAGCCATGCAGGCCTCATCCACCTTAGAGAAGCTAATACATCTCGATCTGCCTGCTTGTGTGCAAAATGTTGCTTTTGACATTAAAATGAACAGAGTGAGGCTCCCGATTAGCAGGATATTTAAAATGTAATTAGTGCATGTTACATTTCAGATAATACAACCAACAACTTCAGAACAATCTGGAGAGTCTGAATTAGAAGGTCATAGTATCTCCTGTTTATGATTAAATGGGATTTTCCTGGCTGAGTTCTGGTTAAATATAATAATCTTTGCTCAACATGTTTGTTCTAATAAATCTGATTATAATTAGATGTTGTTATAATGTAGATTAGGATTTAACAGATAGAAAAAAAATTCACCTCGTGGTCATAATGTTACGAATGTCCAGTGGAGCTCAGATTGAGGACTGATGTTGTCAGATATCAGATGTTAAATTTAGGTTTGCTAATTCCTTCTTTTTTATTATTGTTATTATTATTATTATTATTATTATTGTTGTTTCGTTTTTGTGGTCATTTTTTAATAGTAATCAAGCAAATTCAGACGTCATTAGCATTATTCTGTTTTTTTTCCTATTTATTTGCATTTTGTATTTTGTAAGAACTTAGTTAAAATGAGTTTTGATTTAAATAATCTGTGTGAATTGGGAATGAACCTGTTGATTGTTCCTAAACGGGCTCTGAGATGATGGTGGGTGCCAATCTGTAGTTTACAAATAAACAGGGCTGGATGTTTAAGGATAATAAAACAACATATTTGTTATGATATTTCTGTAAATTAAACTAGTTCAGGGAACTGTTACTAAAAACAAGAAAAAGAGACATTTTACAGAATAATACAATTTGACACAACCCATTAAGGTGTGTATTTGTAAATGCTCTGATTATAAATGCGTATTCATGTAACTTTGGTTATTTCATGTGATAAAACACTGAAAATGAACTCAGTTGTAAAAGTTTGTTTATTTTATTTGTAAAACTTTAGCCAGGTGTTGACATGATGTGCAACTCTAAGCAAATGGAAGCACAGCACAAACCCGCACTGACAGTCTCGGTGTGTGTTCACCTGCAGCTGTGCAGTTCTTCACACACCAACTCTAGGCATGTGCAGTTTGGGTTTTAAGCATCAGTGTGTACATCCTAAATTAGCAAACCGTATGTACAACATTTCCTCCTGCAACAAAGTAAATGTAAAAATGGCGTCTGTCCAGGCTACATGACACAGAATCTATGCATCAGTAAGTGTGTGTACACAAGGGCTGCTACTCATGTAACTGTACTTAGTTTGATCTGCTTATGGTGACTGAAAAAGTAAGAGTGGGATTTATTTTAATGATAAATGCTAAAACACTGGAAAGGTCCAACACAACATTATTGCTACTGCATCTCAGCCGTCCACTGTCTGATTGAAACTCAGTAGAATAAAACCGGGGATCAGGAATAGACAGTAACACAGTGGGTAGAAACATTCAGGCTCCCAGATACTTAATAACAGAACTACAGGACCCCATTAAGAAGGAAATAATAAATAAATAAATAAATAATAATACAATGTGCAGAATGCAGACATATACAACATAAAGAAACTACTCGTTGCTACTCAAATGATGCTTTAAATGTGTCATGATGAAGTATTTCTCATACTTTCCTGCTTTGGTTAACTGATTCCTCTTATCTGCAACGGTAGCAACTTTAAATCTTTTTAAAAAGTGAGGAAGACTAAAATTACCTAACACTAGAATTAAGAAAAAAAAAGAGCTGGTGTCATATTAGGATTAGGAATAAATCCCTGTTGAGGAATATTTACAATATATTTACATCTTTGACTGAATCAACGTTTACTGAAAAGAATATTGAGTCATTATTAAAGAATTATTACTGTGTAGGTGGCTGCTTATTAACTTTAGCTGATGTCTAAATAATCCAGCTACTTTACTACTTTCCCTTTATGTACTTTTATGTTTTCAACCTTATTTGATCCAAATAAATGGTGTTCCTATAAAAATCAAGGCTTGTCAGAATATATTGCACTGTGTTTATTGCACAAAGGTTTCCCTACATGTATGAATAAAATATACAATTTATTAAAACGAATACCTGTTATAGGGGAGCCAAAGTGAAATTTCAGGACACTTTAAATACAGCCTGAAACTTCTGCAGGACTTATCAAGGCATCTGCTTTTAAATAGGAGACCTTCTCTATTAAAGCCACTTGGATGAGAGTCCTCTCTTTTTATGAAAACACACAAAATGATTTATATCACAGTGTTAGATTAGTTTACATTTGAAAAAAAAAAACATTTACACCATGAGCTGGGTGAACCAAAGCCTAAATTGAAGCCAGTATGAGCAGGAAGCTTGAGTTTGGCATGGTTTGTGCTTTTCAAAATAAAATAAAAAGTCCATCCTCATTAGTGAGGACTTCAGCGACCCTCTCACATCACTGACTCTCTTCAGGCTCCGAGGTGGTGGTGCTGTTTTGACTCTCCAGCTTTTTCATGCCTCTCCGCTGAGCCAGGCTGGAGGAGTGCACGGGTTCGAGGACCGGAGCTGGAGCACAGCGCTTCAGAGCAGCGTAGGTAGCAGACAATGCTCCCTGAAGGGAACATAAAGGCAAGTGCATTGGTTTAATCTGGAGAACAACTCAACAAGAGACAAACATCACCACCTAGTGGACGGGAAAAGGCATTTTACAGTTTAGAACACCACACATTAGTTTGTTTTCAGATGAATGTTGTTTATTTGCCAAAAATCTGAACGTGTTTTGCTCTTTTAGCAAAATAGTTTTAGAGTTCCTTTGCATATTTTTAGCATGATTTTGTAAAATATTTATTTCTTTTTTTCAAAAGTATTTCTCAACAGAATATAAAAATAAAGATACATTCAGAGTGATTGAGCATTTTAGCAAAAGCACTCGTTCACAGCGGACCGCTGACCTTGACGATGACGGCGTCCTGTCTGGTGAGACTCTTGTCAGAAAGCTGTTCTCTCTCTACAACCCAGGGGTGTCGAAGAACCTAAAGCATGAAAGCTATATGAATTTATTGCTACAACAAGGACTTATATAATCTATATCCAATAAAAACTAAAGTAATAACTTTTTGTAAGTACCATAAGATACCCTAATTTTTTGACATCTTAAAAAAACTCCAGTACTTGAAGGCCACCATCCTCCATGTTTAGGATGTTTCTCTGCGCCAACACACATAGTTTTAATTAGTGGATGATGAACAGGCTTCTGCAGAACATGAAGACCTGCTGATGTAATGAAACAACCATTGTTTCAGATGTGCTGGAGCAGTGAAACCACAAAACATGGAGGAATAGGAGACCTTTGGTGGCCCATGGGGACTTGAGTTTGATAACCCTTATTTGAACATTATTGCAAAGGGTTAAAAACAGGTGAGGGGGGTAGCTGCTCTGTTAGAGAGGCACATTTGTAAGGAAATGTTACACATATTACACATTTCAAATTTGTGCCTGTTAATCACAAAGATATAATAACTGATTTTGCTGCGGCTGAGCTGTTTCATCGTTTTTCATGAAGTTGTAAAATATAACTATTTTGCAAAATAAAGAAATACTTTGATGTCTTTATTAATTTCAGTGGAATCATAAAAAACATTTCTGTCAGCCTCTTTTTTCAATTTCCGGTCATTTCATTCACATGCTTTGGGTCTACGTCTCACATTGACGTGTATTCCCCGTAAGCTTCCTCCCATTGGTAGTGTTTCAGATGCAAAATGGAGGCTAAACTGTTCCCCACATTGGGTCCCGCAACGTCACAAACTCACCGGAGAATTGCAGGGCCACTTGTGATTTCTGCAGGTCACGTAATAAAAGACAATAGCATTTATCCTAAAAGGTCTGTGGCTCATTTTCTGTTCCGTTTACCTCGGCTACAGAGTTTTCCCAGGTAACTAGTTAAGCAACTGGAAATCTGCACATGACTTATTTGGAAAGTTTCCAGGTGTTACACAGCCTTCGTGTTTGACTTCCTGTCTGGCCTGATCTGAATGACTGAGCTTGATACATTCTGGAAGCGTAGTGCGTACATGATAAACTCAGAGTCAAAGTGACATGTCCTTCACCCCATGCAGCCAAACGGCTGTGCTGCACGGCTGGTAAACGCACCTATCCACTATGACAACGGCTGATTTCTGCATATTACCCTTCGCGGAAGGACCTGGTTAGGCAAAATTATGGTAAAAAATCTAAACTTATTAATGCATAAGATCTGCCCTTTGCATGGGGGGCCCACAGGGAGATCCAAGCTTGCTGACAGGTTGGCACTTGCCCACCTTAGACTCTCCCTAGAACCGCCCCTGCCAATAACAGTAAGCCAACCAACTTTTTGTGTCGAGAACCTTATAACAGTGTAAAACTGATGGAAGTCCTTCACAGAATAGAAAAAAAGAATAAAACCTGTGGGGCAGTAAGACGCTGGTGAGGGTCCACGTGGAGCATCTTTGTCACAATGTCCTGTAAAAGAAACCCAACATGCACATATATAGTGTTAGCATGATTAAACAACATCAGAATCATGTTACCAAGGCGACTGTTCAGATAGGAATGAAGAAGCCTAAGGATGTCACCTTGGCAGCTTCTGACACCAAGTCCCAGTTCCCTCCTGTGATGATGACTTTCCCACTCCCGATCTGAGCCAGAATCTCCTCAGCAGTGTCATTATGGCTGCTGGCATACGGGCTGAAGCTGAAAAGATATTATAAAGTGTCATAAATGAATGAAAACAAAATCTCAAAACACTCGGGAATCTTTAGTGTGACAAGAGCAAAACAAGTTGTTTTCATATACCAGGAGATGTTATTGTGGAAACAGCATCAGAATGATGATACTGCATGGTTTTATGTGCCGAAAGTGGGAGTCTGCATAACAAAAACCCTGTTAGTGTTACTGACCCAGCTATCATGGTGTAGAGAAGGATCCCCAAGCTCCAGATGTCACAGGCTGCATCATAACCCTGCTTTTTCAGAACCTAAACACACAAATCAGCATGTTTAGTGTTTATTTTGTCAGCTGCTTTGTTGTTTGTGATTTTTTTGTAGAGATGATGCATGTTTTGTCTTGCAATTGTGATTATTATTAGTATTATACCTCGGGAGCCATGAATGTGGCGGTGTAACATGGCGTCATCAGCAGACCGTTTTCAGCTCTGAGCTGTTTAGCAAAACCAAAATCACAAATCCTGATGGATTCTGGGAGTCCGCCGTCATCAGCGTAGCAAATGTTGCTGGGCTTCAGGTCTCGATGCACAACCTGATGCAACAAAAAAGGCCAAATCTAACGGTCACTGGAACTTTTATAATGCAAGTTTCGCCGCATCAGAACACCTTTATGTCTATACACCTTACCCCTTGAGAGTGTAAATATTCCACAGTTTTTGTCAGCGTGCAGACGATGTCTGATGCATCTCTCTCTGTGAAATCTGGAAGTGTCAAAACTCTGTCCAGCAGCTCGTTCCCTCTGAGGACGTCCAGGACTAAATAAACATACTGGCCATCGTCAAACACCTACAGGCAGAATAAAATAGGCAAAAACAAAACTCTATTTAAACAACTCTGCAATAAATAGATAAATAAATAAATAAATAAATTATAGATATTGAAAAAGATGATAAACCCATCCTATTCTCTTAAGTGTATATGCTGCCTTAATGAGTGAATTTCCCCACTTTGGGATCAATCAAGTATTTTCTATTCTATTCTATTCTATTCTATTCTATTTTATTCACAAATTTGACTTTGTGTGATATACTTACATCCCTCAGGGTTATTATATTTGCATGCTGTCCATATCTCAACAAAATCTCAATCTCCTCTGATGGATCTTTCTTGGTTCTGTCAATAATCTGATGAAAACAAACGAAAAACAAACATCATTTTATATATTCTGAAGAACCGTATCTTATTTTTACGGCACATTCATAAACAGCACAGCAGCTGACCAAGTGCTACATGAAAGGTTCAAACAACGGGACAAAATACAGCATTCACCAATCAGACAATCAATATTTAAATAACAGGAGAAAAATAACAAAACGATTAAACAATAAAAGACACAGTAGATAAAAAGGCTAAGCTAAAAGACCATGAAAACAAAGAAGCTAGGTGACGCTGTTATAAAATAAGAAAAACATCAGCATGAGACATCTGTGTATCTTTCCTAGAAAACAACTAAGAAGGATCAAAACAGTGTGACAACAGGGGAGGTGTAAATGTTGCATTTCCATGACAGCAGGAAAAATGCACATTTTGTGTAGTTTTAACTAAATTCACAGACTACGACCACTAAATGCATTTGTCTGAGAGCATTCTTAAAATATTAAGTCTTTCTGAAACACTGAACATGTAGAGTTTTTACAGTATTCTTATTATTTAGGCCCGCTGTAGGCTGAGATATTACTACTTGCATTTAATCAAATAAATCAAATGTCATTTAAAATTTTCATTTCATGTTTTGAGTTGGAAAAGGGTAGAATGCTTTCTCCAGGTCAGGAATGAGGTCCTGCCTCAAGTGGGGGAGTTTAAGTATCTCGGGGTGTTGTTCACGAGTGAGGGAAAGCTGGAGCGTGAGATTGATCGGTGGATTGGTGCTGCATCTGCAGTGATGTGGGCGTTGGACCGGTCCGTTGTGATGAAGATTTATCAGTCATCTACATTCCTACCCTCATCTTTGGTCACATATACAAGTAATGAGTTTTCTCCGCAGACCATCTGGGCTCTTCCTTAGAGATAGGGTGAGAAGCTCGGTCATCTGGGAGGGTCTCGAAGTAGATCCGCTGCTCCTCCACAACGAGAGGAGCCAGTTGAGGTGGCTCTGGCATCTGGTTATGCCTCCTTGGTGAGATCCAACTAGGGGGAGACCTAAATGAAGACCCAGGACACGATGGAGGGATTATGTTTATCGGCTGGCCAGGATCCATGAACGCCTTGGGATTTCCCAGGAGGAGCTGGCCCAAGTGGCTGGGGAGAGCAAAGTCTGGGCCTCTCTGCTTAGGCTGCTGCTGCCGCAACTCGACCCAGTTAACTGGATGACAACAGATGGATGGATTTAAATTCTCAAAACAAAACCAAAAATGCATTTAGATGTTTCCTGAGAACAGATGCACCATGTTCTTTAGAGTTGTAAAGACATGACACCACTGCGTTAGCCAGAAAAGTGCTGATGGTCCAATTATAGACCGGCATGTGAGATAACTTGCTGATTTATAAATAAAATCAATAATTTCATTATTTGAAGTGACAGTACTAACTACTGTTGACCCTTTTGGCCTCAATAAATGTTCTAAATGTTTCCTGTTCTCCTGGAGAGCATGGTGACATTCACCTACCTTTACTGAATACTCCACGGCTGTGACTCTGTGGTGACATCTTCTACGGACGAATGCTCCCGTCCGTTCAACTTCTTCCTTCAGCTCATACACGTCTTTGAAGGCCACATCACCACGAATGTGCTATCAGAGAACGCACACAAAACAGTTTTATAATGAAATAAAATCTTTTTTTGTGAACAAACTAAAGCTTTTTACTGGCTTGATAGAATATATTTTAATTAGACCGGTTGTTATAATGACCTGTGCTATGGGGTTGATGTTCACCTCCTGATGTGAAGGCGCTACAGGGGCGACGCTGGCCTCCTGATTGGTTTGATTAGTGGCCACAAAGCTGAAACCACGAAACAACTGGTGCGTGTTTGCACTTGGGGGGATGCCGGGGGAATCTGGACACCGAACGACACAAACACAAAGAAAAGTTTTACAAAACCGCATTAAAACATGTTCATTTATAAGTTCTGATTTGCGTCTCTGAGCCTGAACATGTTTGTTGCATATCTGAGTGACCTGTTGGTGTTCTGGAAGTGAACTCAGGGTCAAAGTGGAAAGTGTCTTCGGGTCTTCCGACAGTCGGTTTGAACGGCGGTCTCATCTCCTTCTTGTACAACTTCTACAGAATAAAACACAAAATGTTACATCAGAAACAACTGACTTCATCACAAAATCAAACACGACCCTCATCACTGTAAATAGACTGGTGTTCAGAATCAGAATCATAGGTGTGGTAAGCATCTCTGATGTCACATAAAATGTGTCAAAGTCCATCCAGTAACACAGAACCCATACAAGCTTTAATGTCAGTGTGCAAATAACTGATTAATAAAATATTATTATAACTAAACAAAGTGTAAATCAGAAATGTGCAACAATCTAAGGCTGCATAAGGATGACTGGTGTTTGTTTTCATGACTGTTGACAACTGCTGGTTTCTGCAGTTTCTACATGTGGCCCGTAGGTGTCACCGATTCAACACCGTTCTGTTGATCCTAAACGCTGCAAAACTTTGACACATTATTTAAGAAACCGTTTAAAGAGAAACTCTAAATAAGAGCAATTTTAGAGTAGAGAATAATTTATTCCAAGCATCAAAGATGTCAAGGGTAGATGATGATGATGGAATGTGTAATTGGTAGAAACTATCTGACTGGAAAACTTTTGTAGATATAAAAGAAAATAATGACTGATTCATGATGGTGAGCTGCCGGTGAGAAACTCAAAGGTATTCTTATAAGGCAACACAAGTTACCCAAGTCGGAAAAGGATTGAAGGCTTTCTCCAGGTCAGGGAGAAGGTCCTGCCTCTAGTGGAGGAATTCCACTATCTCAGGAGTGAGGGAAAGATGGAGCGGAAGAACGATAGGTGGTTAAGTGCTGCATCTGCAGTGATGCAGGCGTTGTACCGGTCTGTTGTGGTTAAGAGAGCTGAGCTGGAAGGCGAAGCTCTCGATTTACTGGTAGCTCTACGTTCTTACCCTCACCTATGGTTACAAACTTTGGGTAGTGACCAAAAGAACGAGATCGCGGATACAAGCAGCCAAAAGACGTTTTCTCCGCAGGGTGGCTGGGCTCTCCCTTAGTGTTAGAGTGAGAAGCTTAGTCATCTGGGAGGGGCATGGAGTAGACCCGCTGCTCCTCCGCATCGAGAGGAGCCAGTTAAGGTGGCTCAAACAACAATGGATGGATGGAAGTTACCAATATGTAATATATTATGTTTACTAATTATATTTTATCCTCGTTAATAAGGAACTTACATCCCAGTCTATTGATGCAAAAAAGCGATGTCTTTTAATTTCTTCAATTCCATCTGGACCGGCACCTGAGGAACAGAGAGAGGCCAAAAATATTTGAGTATATATGTGTGTGTGTGTGTGTGTGTGTGTGTCCTACAATGCCTTTTGTCAGCCTTTGACTGGAGAATGATTGCATTGCTATCATGTTATTTTTAAGGACAAACATTATGTGAAAGAAATGAAGTGAAGCCCAAAATTGTAAAGAATAAGGGACAATGTGTAGTTTTTACCGTTAATCTCTGGGAATATCCATCAAAATTTTGGTGAAAATGAGTAAAATTTTCTCCAGTCATTGAAAATTATTGGTGGTTTTGTACCAAATAACCATAAAAATCGGCTCTAAAGTACAAAGGCTAGCGTTTTTGGGGGACGCCATATTAGACGCCATGTTTCCTTCTAGCCGGCTGGGGTCCTGCGCCTGTCGATGATGTCACACTAGATGATTGACCGGACGTATGACTTACAGAAGTTACGTTACCACACTCAAAAACATTTAAGACAGTAAGAAACATGAATTTATGAACAAAACTGCTAAACTCTTTTCAAAACGTTTGTGAATGAACAGAATCGAAAAAGTGATGCACTATATTTTGGCTGAGCGGTATTGATGTAGTATGATGATGTCATCAGCAGGTGCAGGACCCTGAGCAGATCAGGAGACTACAGCGCCAGAAAATTGCAATCGACATTGCATTCTCTCAGTGGAATTAACTGAAGGACCATCAAAATGTGAGGAGTCACGCCGAGGCTGCAAAACTACCCTGAAATGTACGCTCTGCCCCCTAGTGCCAGGAAACTACACACTGACACTTAAAAAAATAAAAATAAAAAATAATCCTTTGTAGTACAGTGATTTTATATTTTCACAGTTACTCTACTGACATCCCTCATTTATAATTTTCTGACTAGTTTTCAAAGCTTTCTGCACTTTGGTTTCGTACATATTTGCAGACACAAAATGATGTCATCACTCTTAATTTGAAACATGCCAGCAACAGATAGCAAAAACTGACAAAGTAATGAATAAATTTCAGTTTTTAAAATGCGTACACGTGGCATTACTTGATGGGAGACATTTGATTAAAAAACTTGCATTTGAATCAAGTTTTGATCCAAAATAATCTGTTTGATTTGTTTCTATGATCTGGACCTGCTTTGTCAATAAAAGTATCTAAAAAAGTAGGAATATAATCCGCCACTGCGCTGAAAAATATTTGTAGTTTTAGATTATTGATGTCCAGTGTTTTAATGTGGCATACCCAGACGGTTAACGGGATTCCTCTTGAAGAGCACTCTTAATAAACTCTGAACTTCTGGGCTGAGGAACTGTGGCATCCCGAGTTTTGCCCTGTGCACACACATGGAGATGCAGCTTCATGCAAATGCAGAAAAGACCAGTGAAATACTTAGGATTGTTCTGATGATTCAGCTAACATTAATCAAACAAAGAAAGCACTTTAACATGAACAATCGTTGCAGTTTTGTTCTACTAATTATGTAAAATCTGTTATAAAACTGATTTAAAAAACCAGTTGGAGAAGAAAAAAATGAATATTTAGACATTTTAAAGCCTCAATAAGTTTTTTGTTTGTATGAAAACAGATGCAATTATTTTATTAGCCATAACAAAAATGACCCAAAACCTTGTAGTCGTTAACAAAATATTTTGAGTTGTTTGTCTCACTTCAGGATAAGCGCCATTGTCTCCTTCCGATCCTTTCCTTGAAAGGGTAAAGATCCCGTCAACATTTCAAACTGAAAAAAAGCAAAAATTGACATCTGTCAGAACATCAGCCATCCAATGAAGAACTGGGAGCAGAGAGATGATTGAATTTTCATTAGTTTATTGATTTTAGCGGTCGGAAAGCCACCAAGGAGGAACAAATGCTAAGCTGTGAGTGAACTGTTCATGACCTCGGATTTAAAAAGGATGGCAAAATAATGTTTACTGGTTCTCACAGGGTGTCTGCGACCTTAGGAAACCTCAAAAATTAAAGAATAAACATTTTAAGAATGTGATTGGTGAGGTCTTATTGTCAATGCAGCAGTGATCAGTAACAAAAACAGGAGCTTAATTATTTTTTTAAGTAAAAAACAAAATTTTTTAAAGGTAGATAATGTAAGAATGAAGTAAGAATGACATCCTGTGGTCCAATTGGGTACTGCAGTTTGGTGAGCCAATCACATCACTCTATCGGTTTGGCGGGCCAATCACATCACTCTGTCGGTTTGGTGAGCCAATCACAATGCTCTATCGGTTTGGTGGGCCAATCACAATGCTCTATCGGTTTGGTTGGTGGGTTGTAACTGCAACTGAGCAAAACTAAGATGACGACGGCTCGTTTAAAATGGCCTTGGATTCAACTTGGGTTTTGTTTGACTCAAAAGCAGAGAGGTACTTCAGTTTTTATTTGAAAAATGATGTATTTGCGTCTTCTTCGATGGAGTATGTCAGACTGCCCCCTTGACTTTGTCATTTGTAGTGGTGAGTACATCTTGTTGCTTGTCGTCCAATAGCATGCAGAGACAGTTTGAAAGACAACCACATGACCGAGAGCCGTCAGTGGGTTGTGACCAGACTATATATTCACATATAGCTTCCCATACTGACTTACTGTACCTATAACCGCTAATTCACACTGAACGCATCAGCGGAGCAGAGCGGTCCAGTACACACTGGGAGGATCCCAGCAACAGAGCCCCTTCTCTGCTGTGCTCCTCACTGGACTCGCGAGTCACAAAATCCTTCGAGACTTCTGCCGTCCACCATTAAACCAAAAAGAAGGAAGCCACATTTGATATTGCTCTTTGATGTCATATATAATGTTGTTCCTCTCCACTGCCAGCATAAAAGCCATGAAAAACACACCGCTGCACTTCTGGAACAATGCAGGAAGTCAGTTAGTCGTTAGGTCATACGTATTGACACAATCTACATAGATATGAAATTGCAATGCAGCAATAGTCTTTTCTTTTGAAAATTACCAGGGGTATTACACTGAAACCGTGTGTGATTTCCTGTCTAGCCCCATGTTCCCTGCAGAAATTGTCATGTCCCAGAAGCGGCTTGCAGCAAAAACAGAACCTGATCCAATCTTTAGCGGTGTGGCGAGCCACTTCAGGGTTGTGCCTGAATATTTCAGCATCGCAGCTGGTTTGAATCACCCCCGTAGAATATCATGGATTATAATTTGAAGCAGGGACATTCTGCTTCCATTCTGCGCTGCTGACGCTTCCAGTGTGATCTCGCTTGGTGTAACCAGATGTCAGTGACTGCATGTTAACCTCCTTCCCCGCATTAGTAACATAAACCAGCAGGCTAACAAAACAAGCTGATTTTAGCAGATTAACAAACTTAATCTGGCAGATAAATTAAGAAGGCCAAATAAGGAAATCAGAACTTGTGTGACTTAACGCACCATAAGTACCCCGAAGGACCACCAGTCTGCACTTTGTGTGTGTCCTCTCCTGTTCACAACCTCAGGAGCCATGTACTCAATCGTTCCACAGAAGGAGTACGCTCTTTTGTCATGATCAGTGGCTTCTTTACTCAGTCCAAAGTCTGAACAAAGACACAGAGAGACAGCATGGATCACAGCGAGACAAATACTTGCAGGAAAAACTCAAAGACACACATTTGTTTTGTTTACAATTGGATGCACTAACCGGTAATCTTTATGTGTCCATCTTCATCTAGAAGAATACTGAAAAAAAACAACACTCAAATAAAAAACAAAGTACTTTTGAATATATTATTGGGATATATAAAACACAGTAACAGTACTTTTCAGGTTTAAGGTCTCTGTAGATGATCCCTAGACTGTGAAGATGGTCCAAGGCAAGAGCCAGCTCTGCAAGGTAAAACTTCACATCCTCTTCAGTAAACATCACCTGCACAGGTGAGGAGATGAGGATGTATTTAGAGTCATGCATCAGAAAAGAACTTCCGGCTGCAGCAACATGTTTTTTACAAGAAAGCTGCTTTTATCCTTGAAATGTCTGACAAATTACAGTTTAAAGCAACACATTTACAGTTTCTGTTCATAATGAAGAATCCCCAAAACATTACCACAAAAGTGACAAACCAAATAACAAAAAGGTGTTTTTCAGGAAATAGTTCATGATACCTCCTTTGACAGACGAGTGAAAAGGTCTCCTCCTCTCAGGAAGTCCAAGATCAGATAGAGTTTCCCTTCAGTCTGGAAGGCTGGACACACACACACACACACACACACACACACACACACACACACACACACACACACACACACACACACACACACACACACACACACACACACACACACACACACAATGAAATCTTGTTGCCATGTCGAGACTGTGCTCTCCTGAGGAAACCGTGTGCATGATTTAGGTGCTGTGAAAAATGTCATAATAAACTCTGGATGTGATGAACTGATGAACATTTTTTTTTAACATTTTTACTTTTCCAAGAGATCATTTAAATTATTACTTTTCCCAAACTGCTGAGTAGACTGGTAGTATGTCAGCTCCCAGATGCACAAAGCTAATGAATAAGTGAAATCTTCTGGCTGTGCATCACAAAAGAGAGTTCAGAGGGTCAAGTCAAGGACAAATAAAGACACTTAGATGTGCACACTTTGTAAAATGAAACACCACAGCATCAGATTTGGCTTGCTAAAGAATCTACTGCATCAAATTAACATTTTATTTGAATTTTTATGACTGTCTCACCGTAGTGCAGTTTAACTATAAAAGGGTGGTTGACTTCAGCGAGGATGTCTCTTTCCATCTTTGATCGCACCCGATCGCGAACTGAGAAGGAGAAAATAAGACAGAGGCATTAAGTAATCTCAGGTTTACACGTGCATGAACTCTGAAAAGAGAACATGAAATGATATGGGTGAAAAAATGTCTAATACGTTTTCTGTTTCATTTCCAACATGTTGCTGTTTTTTATTTATTTATTATTTTTTGCAGATAAAACAAAACAGTTTGATATAAAAACAGAAAATCGGGATTTCAAAAGCAAAGATGAGGAAGAATTCACTGCAGTAAGTGATGCTGCAGAGGCAAAAGGGAATAAGACAAATATATGCCTATGTGGGGGTGCACAACAAAGATTCACCAGTGGTGAAAACACCTTCAGGCAATGCTGATTGATATGGTGAAAAACTTCATAGTTTTAGAACAATTCAGTCTACTTTTGTTTCAAATCTTCTGAAAAGCTCAGCTCATTTTAACCCTCTCAGGCTCAAAAGAAGTTTTGATGAAAGGACGAACAACTAAGTCCTTCAGGGGTACTTCTGATTTTAAAAATGCTCGTAAAATACGTATGGAGTCACCAGGTAGGTAGGCTTTAACATTGCAAATCTGCAACGCCTGCCTCCAGAGGGTTGAAAAGATGAAAACAGTTAAAGGGAAATTCTGACTCATCTTTGCAAGACGAAGCCAAACCAAAATCTGCATGTGGTTCAAAACAGAATGCCTCCAGTGCAAACAAGCTCATGTGTTCATCAGCGCACTGAAAATGTTTCAAGAAAAATGTTCTAAATAAAAATAAACGCAGGCAGAAAATTAGCTCCTAAAACCAGAAAAGGTCTCATAAGATCCTTAATATCTTAATGTTTTTAAACAGAACAACTAAATGAATCAGGCCTCACAACGTTTGAAGTTACATGCATTGTAAAACACTTTATTCGTTTAGAGCTCATCTTTTAAGTCATTTGATATATTTTCTGGGTTTTAAATGATTTCTAATGATTTAAATGTTCCTGCCTACACAGCTGCATGCATGACCTTAACTGGCAAACAGGTCTGAACCTGTGACACAGAGCCGCTGACGTCTAGTTTAGATGAAGCCACAACAACCGCATCTGTCCCTCTGACGGGGTGAGATTGAAATTTTCTAGTTCCAGAGGTGCAGATTAAGAAGATTAAGATTCCCACAAAGACTCTAGATTAGAATAACCTGCTTTCCCAAATACCCAACTTTAAAATAATCCAAGTTGTTGTGAGGAAAAAACATGTTGCTCTGAATAAAAAGAGTACAAACTAACCTGCTTTACAAAAATCTCACTGAATGTAGGGCAGTAAAACCATCTGCTGGTCACATATCTCATTTGATTTCTGCATGAAAACCCAATTCCACTTCAAAAATTACAATTCACTTTCTACATTTTCACTTTATTTTTTATTTCAATTGATCTTTTTTTACTTAAATTTCTTAAATAAGTTTCAATCCAAATGGTTGCAATTTAGCCACAACTCAATAAAAAGTTAGTGTAGATATGATGTGTCATTAGTGTTGCCAGTTACAATTCTAAATTTGACTTAGAGTCATTGCTTTGTTCATTTCTATCCCTCAAAAGGACCCAGTTGTACTGTATTACCTTTGAGAGTGGCCTTCTTTAGGACCTTCATGGCATAGAGCTGTCCTCTGTCCACACCTCGGATCTTCCTGACCAGGAACACCTAGGAATAACACAGTTTGTGAGACTTTAAAACAAGTGTTTTCTATTGACCACACCAGAAAGATGAAGAAAGAACCAAATACTAAACTATGTGAGTTTATTTAGATATTCTAGACCAACTTTAATTCATTTTACTTCACTATTACCTTTAATAAAATGGCCATGTGAACTCTATCACAACCAGCTAAAGTTCAATCAAAGGCTGCCACAACACTTAGCTGTGTAACCGGGCCACACTGTGACTCGACCTCAATTGTCTGCCTGCAGCCTTGGAAACAGCCTCCACTTGTCAACGCTTCTTTCTGGGGTATTTCTCTTATCTGATGGCACCATCTAGTGGCTGACAAGCGTATCACACAAAAACGCTGTTCCTCTGTTTTTTTAAGATGGCAACTTCACATTTCTGTTCATAAATGTGCTTCTGTAGCCAACAAACAGAGCTAAAACACGCTGTTGCACGAGTATTATTCTCATGTCATGCTGTGTTTTCATATATTTATATTTTAGAGTCATACTTGTCCGTGAAAAGTTAATCAACGCTGCATCGGCTGAGGTATTCCTTAAATTTGAAGCGTCTAATGCTGTTGGTTAGTTCTGGTCGGCGCTTAGTTTCCTATTGCATGGCGCTCTGCATGGCAGGGGCCGTGCTTAGCAAAAAACGAAATAAATAAAAAGACGTATTGCTAACATTATATCACAGTACATGATAAGATAATCAATTTTACAGATTTCTGACAAATCATACATAATTTCTGAAAGAGGAAATCTCTGGAAAGCAGCTTTAATGTCTGCCAGGTTTCAGTGTCTGGTCTGTCCAGACCTCTAATGTACAGCAACAAGTCAGCCAGTGCACCTCAATTCATTTAAATAAGATTAGTGATCTCTGGAGCCGTCGTCAAGGCAGCTAATCTACAGATAATTGGAAATGGAAGGCTTATCATTAGCAGATCGTAAACAGCAAACACACATGCCAGCATCAAGTGAATCCCATTCTCAAAACTCAATGTACGTACATCTTTAATGGGCTGTTTTTCAGAGTCTCCAAATTTGAAACCACGATTCTCAGCCAGAAGAAGTGGAATGCTCCTCCCTCCAGGTTGGAAGAGATTATTTGCCTTAAAGAGTTTAAAGATCTTGGAGTGTTGTTCATGAGTAATACGATGGAGCAAGATTTGGACCGATGAATCAAGCTTGGTCTCCAGCAATAGAGAGGTAGCTCTGGTCTGTTGTTGTTAAGAAGCTGAGGATCTACCTACTCTAACCTGAGGTCAAATGTATTCATATAAAACTTTCTAGGGCTCTACACACAACCAGTCATTCACCAGCACACGCACACATTCAGATGCTGGTGATGAGCTAATGTAGTCTCAGCTGCCTGGGGGCACACAGATGCCACCGGTCCCTCCGACCACCACCAGCAGGCAAGGTCGGTCATATTGCTTGCTCAAGGACACAATGACTGCAACAGACTGAGCAGAGTGTGACCCTCCAGCTACAGAGTGGACACATAACTCCTCTATCACTATCGCCCTCGCCCATGACTGAATTGAAGAGATCCAAGCAGTTGCAAGGAACTTCTCTTAAGATTGTCAGACTCTGCCTTAGAGATAAGGTGCTGCTCCTCCACATCGAAAGGTGGAATCTGAGGAAGTGGGAGCTTCTGATTAAGATGCTGTTTGAATATCTGTATATTGGGCATGTCCCACTGAAGGAGACCCAGGGAAAGATATAAAACTCACTAGAAGGATGAAATATCCTCTTTGGTCTGGGAGAGGTTTAGGTTCCCCCAGAAGGAGCTGGAGAGTTTCACTTGGGAGAGCTTCCTACTGAATTTGTCACCTCCATGACCCAACCTTCAACAAGCTGAACAAAATTAATGGATGGATGTTCTTCACAGTTTCGTTCTTGGCTCTTATTTCCATAGGTAAGAATTAGTGGTCTTGCAGCACACAGTGAATCCACAACAGCAAAACACAAATCGAGAGTTGAATGATCCATCCATCCATTCATCCATCCATTTCCCTCTGCTTATCTGAGGTTGGTTTGCGGGGGCAGCAGCCTATAGAGACCCAGACTTCCCTCTCCCCAACCACTTGGGCCAGCTCCTCCAGGGAAATCCCAAGACATTCCCAATCCAGATGAGAAACATAATCCATCATGTACTGGATCTTCCTCTGGGTTTCCTCCCAGTTTGATGTGCCCAGAAAACAGCAGGGAGGCAGCAGGAGGCATCCTAACTAGAGGCCCACGCCACTTCAACTGGCTCCTCTCGATGTGGAGGGGCATCCGAGCCCCTCCAGCATGATCAGGTTTCTCACCCTATCTCTAAGGGCCCAGACACCCTATGGAGAAAACCAATTTCTGCTAATAATCTTGAAAATGCAGTAAACACAACCCAAGTGGGAGACATACAAATGATCATCTAGGCCAGCAGCCTTAGATGGTTCTGATACAAATGAGTCAGCAGTTTTGAAGAAGCCTGTTCATGATCCAGTCATTTCAACCCATTGAGCTGAAACAGGGAAACGTTTCACACATCCAGGACATGAGGAGCAGAGTTAAGGACCCCTGGAAGCCTCATCAATTTATAGATGATTATGTCTGGTTATTCATTTCTATAGTGACCATGTTCCATCAGTTTGCTTGTGTCCTTCAACTGCAGATTTGAGGGATCACAGTTTCAGCACCTTTCCATAGGATCCTTGTCCCAGCACCTTCAGTAGTTGGAACTGGGAGGGGTCTGCTTTCTCACAGCCCTCTTTGACGTGATGGCTGATGTCGATCTCTTTAAGGACGCTGTCATCCTGAGGAATGAGAGGCAGACTGTTAGGTTCTAATATACGCAAAGAAACTACAGAACAAATATGAGAAGCTGATGAAATCCAGATGGATATGGTTACTGAGTTTATTCAATGAGTAGATCAAATTATAAGCCACCAAAAAGTTGATTTAAAGACCACGTTCACTTGTTTTATCAACACATTTGCACTGGCCTCTAGAATGAATGAATTCCTTGTAAGTTGGGGAAAAAGCTCTCACACTCCTGTTTCATGAGATAGAAGTTAGCCCAAAAGGAGCGAGGAGCAGAAAACATCAGGTTTTGATGTTTTATTTCCACAAATAACTCAAGTCTGAAGGAGTTCTGCTGTATTGTGGAGTTGCTAATGCTAACAGTTAGCTTCTACTACCCTAGATGTTCTCTACTGTTTCCTGGACGCTAAACCTCCAACAGCCTTTCCTGTCGTGAGCCAAGATGTACGAGTCCACGGACGCTAATTTTCAGTGTGACATAGATTGGCTTTTCTAACCCGAGCATTCCCAGTCTATTTTCTGTCGTCGGCTAATGCAGGACGGCTGCTTTCATATTTAGCCAGCAGAGTGACGATCATATTTCAAAAATATCAAGTAAAAAACTGTTTTTCAGTGAACTTGCTCTTTAACAATGTGTCAAATTAATGCTGACTAAACATTTGTGTTGGTCAAGGGTGAACAACTCAACAGTGGTATATGGATTACTGACAGGACTAGACTAGCAGAATATAATTATTTTAATGGACTCTATTTGTTTTACTGGGAATTTGAGAGAAATGTTTCAGCTGTCATGACTAAAATAAAATAAAAAATGTATTAAAATAACATGTAGAGTAGAAACTGGAGTAGAAATGACTGATTGGTAAAATAATTTTCATTTATGAACACAGTTATCATAAAAATGACTGAAAAGAAGTGGTGGAAGTGCAATAAATTGTTGTAATTGCATTATGTAAATGTAATAATAAACCATGCATAAAGTTGATCAGTGAAAACAGCATTTTTCTTTTGTATAATGGTAATAAATATAGACTAGGTTTCTTTTTGAGCTGTCTTTGATATTCAAATGCTATCTGAGATCTCAACTCATCTGAATGCAAAAACAAATTGATGTTCATGCTCAGCCAAAGGTATTGATCATGTCCAAATCACTTTTCCTAATGGTCCATTAAAAACTTCTGTATTGGTGATCCCACATTACTTAGTGAAGTGCTGCTCCGACGCCTAGCACTCACCATCTTATCCTTCACTTTGCTGCAACCGGACACTACAAACCATACTGACAACAATCTGTGTATACACCCACCATAGTATGCCTGTCAGGCACAAGGTACCTCTGCTCTAAAGCAACTTCAGCTTCATTCTCCAGCGCACGGTGACAGGGAGACTCATTTACTAAATTAATGTCACACTCAATTAAAGCAAACTTAAATCTAGCAACTGAGTGCATAAACTCATTAGGAAAATACGTACTGAGGTGATAGAAGCGTGAAATAAAGCTAATTTGTTAAAGTCTTGCGCAAAAAAATGTTTTTTTTTTTACTTCTGACAATTGGGGACCTACTATCTATTAGACTTCATACAAATGAGCCATTTAGCATTCAATTTTCTGGAAAAGGAACTTTAAATAGCTTGTGCACTTGTATTGAGAATATAACAAAGGAGTTGTTTGAGTGATGCATATATGCAAACCTTTGATTTCTTAGGTTTAACATAATCCAAGACTAAAATGCCCTCAAAGTATATATTTCCCTTGTGCAAAACGTTTGTTTCACATGGTAATAAATCATGTTGTTACATGTAGAAGATAAAGTGTATTTGTCCCCCCGTAATTATGCCCAGAAGCCATCTCTCGAAAGCAGCTTTAGTAGCACCAGGACATGAAATAAATGTGAAGTTTGTGAAGCAAAGACAAAGTTTAAGTCCCTGGAGTCATCATGGATTCACTGGCTGTAACCAGAGAGCTCGTCGTTCTTCTGAAAACAATTTTATTAATCAATAGAAACACACTTTTCTCAAATCGCCACGGGAGGATGTCTTTCCAGCTACACACTCACCCCCAGATGTAATTACATCTGGCTCCAGGAAGGCCAGAAGAAGAAACATCAGCAAGGTTTCAAATTCACTTACAAAAGAAACAAACGAGCAGCACTAAAAGTTCACCAAGTGTCATGATATGCATCAAAATTTTACCTCTGAAAGGATGAGCAATCTAAAATATGTTTTCTCTTTCACAAGCCTTGATGCTGGCTGAAGATTTCCATGGATATCGTTTCCAAACTTGAACCACAAGTTCCTATTGGAAAGGTTGGCCGAGCTTTCAGTTCTCAGACTTTTGGAAGCAGCTTCCCGTTTCAATCGAAGAGGCAGAAACTAGAATTTTCTAAAACATTCCGTTTGATAAAACCTAAAGCAAGAGACAGAGGTGGGTTCCTCTGACTCATCCCTTTGGTTATGCTGCTTTAAGCTTAGCCTGTTGCAGAGATTCTGACCATATTTTGTCCCTCAGCCTTTAAAATCCCTTCTTTTCACCATCACTACTGCTTTTTTCTGCTTGTCTTCCATAGAAATTAAGAACAACTCCTGTCCTCTCAGGCTACAGTCAGGTCAGGTGTGGCAGAAGTTCTCTGAGTTTTTTTCCCCAACTGTCACCCATTGCCCTGTGCATGTTCAAAAGGGAAGATACAATGTGATTTGCTGGTTTGAGGACAAATCTGTAATAAATAGCATTAGGGAATCTACTGCATCTGATAACAGGCATGTCATGAGCTTGAATATGGGCCTGATGTGGACTGGACTTGAGGCTATGAAGCATTCAGCCATCACATTGTACCTGCTGGCTGCCAAAAAGACAAACAACAAAAGTGATGGTGGTCATCCAGTCCCACCAGCAATCACATGAAGTCTTTAGGATGATTTTATTTTGTTTATGTCCGGCCCAGATGCATCGGTAGGTGCTGAAATGCTCAATATGCTCTCTAGTGTGTCTGGGCTATAAATAGAACTTTGCTGCTGCAGCTTTCACCTGAATCAGTCTGTCTGGATCTATTTATTGAACCACCTGCCTGCCTTGTCTTGTTTTTGCCCGTTGGAGAGTCTGTCCAACCAGATTTCCTGCAGCCTGTCTCACACTCTCTCCGCCAGGACTCATCTCCATATGGGCCTGTGGCTTTCCTGGCACACGAGGACAGGAGCATGGACCTCTTTATAAACCGGTTTATACCCATGTGCTCTCATCATCACACACAGACACACGTGAGATGTGTTTATGTTTTAATGATTTGGATTCACACAGACAGGTGCAGTTGTGATGCGGCCTGTTTCCAGAAGATTCCCCTTACACACACACACCAACACACACACACACACACACACACACACACACACACACACACACACACACACACACACACACACACACACACACACACACACACACACACACACAGACACACACACACACACACACACACACACACACACACACACACACACACACACACACACACACACACACACACACACACACACTCACACACACACCAACACACACACACACATGCAGCAGAAGTAAATGATGTGACTGACCTCCAGCTGACAGAACCCAGCACTGTTCTTGTTCCGTGCAGCCTTGTTTTTCAAGTAGATTGAAAACCATCTCCGCACTGTAAATTTACGCGTGCTCGTATCCATGGCAACGTGCAGATCTTTGCATCTATCCCATTTTGATGAACATTTCCCTGCTGGGGGACTACTAGGGTAGACAGGTGGATGCAGACAGTTCTTCTATTTGTCCCCCAGCTCTCCCGAGGACCCGCCCTCAGTGCAGCAGCAGCTTGGTAGTTTCCCCATCTCCTCTCTGTTTCCTTTCAGTCTGCGTCCCCTCTGGTGTCTCCCAGGTTGCAGAGGATGTAGTCAGAAGCATTCTCACTGCGGGGATGATAGCTTCGGTTTGGGGATTGTCTGGTGCGTTCTGCAGCAGGCTCGCTGCATCAGGCTGCAGGACGCTGCGCTGAATAAATCTGTTCCGCTGAATCAGGAGAGGTGTGTGTTTATGTTCATCCCCCCTGCTGCCCTCCGCCTCCTCCCTCCCACTTCCCCCCTTTGCAGAACAAGTGATTTTCAGCAGCAGTCACATTATTGTGTGCACCAGCGACAGGCTCTGGACCCCTCCCCAGCCGCCTGTCCTCCCTTTCTGCCTCCCCCCTACAGCATACAGCAACAGCTGGTGAGGTCACATGCTGCAAACCTGCAACCGTACGCGTCTTTGCTGCACTTCACTGAGACAGAACGTTTTAGCTGAAATGGAAAAGCAGGAGATGAAAATGTAGCGGCTCTGATCCAGAATTCAATACCATGTTTTGGACATCAATCAGAGCCAGAGTGGATAATGACAGCAACAGGGCCAGCAGTCACAGAGGGAACAGTATGATCTGTCCTGCAGGGTGTGTGTGTGTGTGTGTGTAGGTATTTGGATCTGTCACATCAGCAGCTTTTTGCAGAGCTGCAGTGTTACATAACCTCAAACAGAGAAAGGATGAGGAATGCCAGCGGGGACACACTGATGAAAGCTGGGGGGTAAATGAGGACTGCTGCTCAGTCTGCAGCTGACCTGGGTGGTTGTTTTCTCTCACTATCAAAATATTCTTGCAAAATTTACCAATTTACTCAACATCGTTAGCTGTTTGAAAGGATTTGGAGGTACAAAGTTTCAGGTCATTTCAGAACTATCAAAAAAATGTAATCAAATGTGTTCAGTCAATCTGCTGTGCTCTGCCGTGGGCGGGGCTTCAGGATTATGGACGGATGTCTTTGTCCCAGTAAGGATTAGGGCTCTGTAAGAAGATCACAACATGAATATTTATATGCAGACAGACAGACTGTGAGACAGACTGACCACTATACATAATAACTTTTGAGGCAGATGACCTTATCATCATTACCAACATTTCATAAACACCACATAACAGAAGCTAGTAACTAGATATTTTTATTGATGCATTTTACAACTGCTGTCATTTTAGACAAAAGTCTATTCATATTGTTACAATGTTCTGCTTTAATTATGATTTACAGTTAAAGGGCAAGTCATCCCCAAACCAACTTTTTTTTGCTGATAAACTATTTAAATGAGTGTCTAATCGTGCTGCAGACACGTGTAGTCAATAATTTGGAACTTCAGTGCATTTTAGTTAAATTTTAAATATTCTGCCTAAAACTGTCAGTGTTGCGCCGTCATCAGGTAAAAACTCTGCACTGTATTTGAATTTAAATCTGCCACCGCTATTGGCTAAGAGGTATGCTATGATGTAAACTGGTACATTATGATGTCACAATGCCATTGTAAGCCTGTGTGTGTTTGTATTTGTTGGCAGCTCCGCCCTCTCGGTCTGCCAGGCAACAGTAATTGTTGCATTTTTCAAACATTAAGTGGGAGTGAAGTAAGTCTCTAGTAGGGGGTGACTTGTTCTTTAAAAAAGGTGAATCAGAACCAATCTAACAAGTCATATGAAAAGGAGTCACCATTTATCAAAGCTCTGTAACCCTGAAACTGAACATCCTATGTTATGTGATTTTCATACAGTCCATGTTCCTAAGCACAATATTTTAAAAGGAAAACAAACAAAAGAGCATAAAATTAAAACTGTAGAGACACAGAATTATAAGAATCTATTAGAATCTTAGCAAAACATCCAAGGATAGACAACGATTCTTATGTTTTGACTTAAAATAGTAAAAAACAAAAATAAGCAGAAGTTTATCAAACAAACTATCCGGTTGGTGAACAAACACAAATCCAAACATTGTTTTAGTGGAATAAAACCTTCTGTCACAAACTCCTCCTCCGTCTAACCACCCCTTACAGACCTAACTGGCGGAGCACTACGTTACCCAGCATTCCCATCACCGGCGTGGGTGGAGGACGTCATCACGCCGACTCTATTTACGGAAGCGCCACCACTGAGTTATCACTCAGTGATCGTCCATGCCAGACATTGACTCGAGTTCTCAAGCTCTCCAGCCCTCAAACCAAGAAAGAGACATTTCCTCGCTGCCTGCTACCAGTAAGTCGGCTTCCTTGTTCAGTCGGAACTGCCGCTCAGCCTCAGCTCCTGCCGAGCGCTGCGTCACCGTTCCCAGATTAAAGCCGCGTGTTCTGTTTAACCCACCGCCAGCCACTCTGCGTCTGGGTCACACAGCCACGCTACAATTAACCTCTGTCAAACATCAGCTCAGCCAATCAGACCTGACACCTTCGGTGTTTCTCCTTTTGCTCGTGTCCAAATGTCTGCCATGACCAAGGCCTGTGCAGTAGGTAAGAAGTGTTGGTAACACTTTACAAAAAGGGTCCCTTTATTGATATTACTCAGTGCATTATTAAGTATTAATAAATAAAGGATCCCTTTATTATTGTTACCATTATTGTTAACTATTAAGTGTCCTTAAAGCATTGGCGGTTCTAGGGGCGGGGCCACAGGGGCACTGGCCCCTGCTGAAATATGATTGGCCCCTGTAGTGCCCCTGTCCTGTCACTCATCTGTCCTTTGTGCGGTGATGAGATTATAGGTGGATGCAATTCCGAGTCCAAACACTAGTGGCCGTGTGGCGCTAAGGAGCAAAATAGTGTGTGAAATCCAACAGAAGAAGATTTGAAAGATTCCAAGAAGGGAGAACTTTTCAACCGACATCGGATCTGATGAGAGTCCACGTTATGAGGAGTTTGTTGGTAAGTCACGAATCACTGTTTACTCACAGTTGCCATGTAAGTCAAGTCTGACAATAAGTCCAATGGAAAGCAATGCCGACATTAGTTAAAGGTAATGTTAAAAAGGGCTTGTGAAAAAACGTTAGCCCTTGCTAATCCATGTACTTCTTTTGTAATCTGCATTTCATGTGTTAATAGTTGGCACTGTCTGATAGAGAACATGAAAAGAAAGGGTCAGATACAGGCGGGAATTCTGCAGTTTTTTCCCAAGAGAGTGAGTGTGTCAGCTGGTGAAAACGAGCATGGAGAAATCAGAGAGAGAGCAGCAGGAGGCAGTAGACCAGAGGCTGGAACAGGGCAAGGGACCTCCATTCCCCCTTTAGGTCAGAAAGAATATAATCTTTATTGTGCAACAGTCATGTCAGATAAACACGAGAGACAGCCTCTTGTAGGACATACCATGCTGGGAAATCAGCGTACGTGTAATATAAACGCGCCGTGGCGGCATGGTGTTGCGGGAATTTTGTGGCATTCGTGCTGCCACGGTTGATACTAATATCACCGCAACGCCGGACTTGTGAATGCATATTACAACTTGGCGCAACAGAAGGGGGTATCATGATCACGTGGGCAGTTACTGCCGAGCTCCGGCCGGCAACTATATTGAAAATGAAAGTAAACATGGGCCGTAAGTTTGGCTTTTCTAAACAGAATCAGCTGAGATGATGGCCGGGGAGCCTCTCCGTAAGAGTTGAAGCTCAGATCACCAGAGACTGCACGGGGACAGACACCTTCTGGAGCGGCTTGTTAAAAAAGCTTAATGAGTGTGGCTTTGATCGCAATAAAAAGCAAGTTATGTCCAAGATAAACTGAAGTCCGTGGCAACGCAGAGACCGCCCCCAAGCTCCCTTTTCACCGCCATCGCATAATCTTTTGTAAAAAGATCATGATTGCACCACATTATCCAGCAGGACGGACTGACCACTTATAAACGACCTAATGCTGCCCATTGTATTCTGCTTATAATTGAGGATAACCTTTTCCCATTTTATCTTGGAGCTGATCCAGTTAATGTGGAGTCATTTTCTTGCACAGAAAATTTGCATTGAGCTTTTTATATTTATCAGTAATAATTGGGTCAGTTATTCCAAGCACCAAAAATAAAGGATTATTGTTTAAATTGATAGAAGTTGTTAATCGTGACAAATCATTAGTGGCAAAGTTGCTTCCCTTTAGTAAATGATTTTACGTTTCTCAAAGCATCTTTCCATTCATCATCAGTAATGTTGCAGTTAAGTTTCCTTTCCCACAATTCCTTCAAGGTTTCCCTAAATTGTGACATTTTGATGTATTGTAAAATGTGTGGGAAAAGTCCTTGTTTGAAACACTGAATTTTCTAATTGGTTGATTAAGTAAGGTCAGGGTTAAGTTTTCCAAAGAGATTTTGTGTTTTGGATATTCCTTTGTTAGTCCAACTTTTCCTGCCATTATTCTAGGTAAAAATAAAAAAAATCACCATTATCTCAAATTTGTTAAATGATGTTATCTTGTACTAATGGCACATATGTTTACTGAATTCTTCCGCTTCATGGTGATGTGGTTTACTATAACATTAACATAATGGATTTAAATTGTATTGGTTTCTTTGTCTACATCTACCACATCTCATCTTTATAGTCCAATCTTTCAAGTCTTCAATTTCAAATAAATAAAAATGTGGTCTCATAGAAAACAAAGTTTTGGCTGGATTTAGCTGGAGTTTGACATATATTTGTATTTTAGCTGCAAACTGGGACAAGACTCTCTCCAATTCAGACAACCAGAGTGAAGTTAATGACTCAACCTTCCATCCTGCTGGGCCACCAGAGTCACCAATCAATGCTAATCCTGCAGGATCAAATGGTAAACATTGATCTTTGAAAGTAATAAATGCTTGTGTATGTATTTGGCTTATGTTAGATAATTTCTCATTTGATGTTTTCAGACATCTTCCAGTGTGATGCACAGAATCCTGCGCAGACATCAGAACGGTGTTCTGTTCCAGTAGGACCTGGTGGTGTGCTTCTCATTTTGTAAAGGCTCTTTAAATTTAATTGAATTTTGCAGTCAGTCACTTGCAGATTCTGAATGCCATGAATGTTAAAGGTTGAGAGATATAAGCAACTGACTCAGACTTATTTAATTGACTTCCCACCAGACATTTCCCAGTCAAGAGCAGAGGGTCCTGTGATATTCTTCTGGTGTTTTTTCCACACACAAACATATTTTAACCTGATATTTGTGGCTTTGCAAAATAAATTGAATGCTAAAATTTCTCAAATGCTGTGTGTGGTTGTATTTTGTCAATGTACAGTAAAAATTGATGTACAATTGCATTGATGTTTTTCAACATGGTGTTGGGGTAAACTGTATCTACCATACAAAACTGGGAATAGTATGCAAGTATGTTGGACTGTACGTGGCCCCTCTATAAATATTGTGGCCCCTTGATGGCCCCACCCTCAGAAAAATCCTAGATCCGCCACTGCCTTAAAGTTAGTACAAAGGGCCAGGGTGGGTGGGGGTGGGGGGTCTGCTTAGTAATGCAGAACAGAAAATGGTAAAGCAGTTGTTACTTCTATATTTAATATTAATGCATAATAATGAACTATGTAAAGTTAATAAAGGGACACTTATTGTAAAGTGTTACCGAAGCATCAAATAAAGGCACTGCAGGTTTGAAAGTTATTGCTTTTTGTTCAGGTGGACTTGTTGCAGATATATTGCATTGGTTTATCTACTGTATTTAAAGTTGCTGTCCCTCATTTTAAGGTTTTTTTGTTCCTTAAAGGGAACCGTTGCAGTTTTGGCTTGCTTTTAGCACCCCCTAGTGTGCAGTTAGTAAAACCAAAAGTGAAATATCTCCTTGCTGTATGTTTGTCTTTTTAACCAACACATTCTCACTCCCAGCACGTCAAAAACAAACGCTTGGTCAACCACCCTCCGCGTCAGACCCCTGACACCAAAAGTGCCCTTTTTCGTCACTTATGTGCGAAAAGGGTTTTTTCCCTTTTCTGACTGCAGATCCCAGTGCAGCGTAAAACTGACGCGATGGGATGTCTGCTGGTGCGGCACCGAACCAGCTCATTTTACCGCACCTAAACCTTAACGTTTTGCTATTTATGACCTTCCCCTCGCCCTCTTCCTAACCTTAATCCTCTTGCTACCTAAAACGTTACTCTCACTGTGATCAAGTGTTTGTTTCCCATGCATTCTGACAGTGAATTTTTGTATTTGCCGCCCAAGGGGAACGTTAGAACATACCATCTGGCGAGGGGGAGGTTACAAATACCCTCTATTTTTAACCTTCACCTTGGTAGTTGAAACCTCCCCCTCGCGTTGCCTGGGTCCAAACCCGACCAATGACAAGGTGGCTCCCTCCGTTCACTTCATAGAGCCAGCTTTTAGAGCGACCGACACATCACTAATGTGTTAGCTAGCAAGACGGTTAAGGTTAGGATAGGGGTGAGGGGAAGGTTAAATAATAAGAGGATAAAGTTAGGGTGAGGTACAATGAGCTTGTTTGGTGCCCTGGCTGCGGACATCCCATCGCGTCAGTTTTACGCTGCATTGGGATCTGCAGTCAGAAAAGGGAAAAAACCCTTTTCGCACATAAGTGACGAAAAAGGGTACTTTTGGCATCAGGGGTCTGACGCGGAGGGTGGCTGACCAAGTGTTAGTTTTTGACGTGCTGGGAGTGAGAATGTGGAATACCTGCTATACGCTGAGTCCATATAACATAGGTAGAAACTGGATTCTGGGTGTGTAAGTTAAGGGCATCAGGGGAGCCTGATAACCTTTAAGGAGAACCAAGTTGCTCTCCTGTAATTTGAACCCAGTATCCAAGTCCAGATCGGGGCTTGGATCGGGAAGTAAAGCCCGAGTCCCGATCAGTCTGAAACCACGTGATCGGGGCCGATTTCCGATCATGTGATCGGATCGGGACATCCCTAGTGGCTTTTACTTTTAAAATTGTGTATATGTTGGTTAAATTAAATATGTAAGCGAGTGACTACCTGCTAGCCACCTGAATCTGCAACTACTGAGCAACTAACCAACCATAGCTAACTGTTTGGATGTAAAAAAAACATTTCAGATATTAACCCGATAGCTACAATTAGTTTACTTACATTTAAACTTGAAATTTGCCCCCAAGGTTGCTGCCAGCTCCTGATCTGCCATCCTTTTGAAAATACCGTGGTGCATTCTGGAAAATTTTTGACCAAGGCCAGGCTACAAGAGACCTCCGGTGTATCCTTGCTCAGCTAGCTAAACGGCTAACAAATGGTAGAACATGAACATTGGAATACACCTTGGTGGTTTCTGATGACATATCTCCTAGACAACTGGGGCGAGGCCAAGACATCAAGACAAGGTTTCTTGGCATTGGGAAACACCCCCGGAAATGAATAACCCTGCTGTAAGGTGTGTGAGTCATGACTCTTCGAGCCAGGTTAGGGGTTAGTCGAGTCATATATATATATAAATACACATTGAAATATATCAGCGTATGTGTAACGAATTAATCTAATATACAAGATTCAATTTTTGAATGGAGTTACTGAAATAAATCAACTTTGTAATGATATTCTAATTTTATGACCAGCACCTGTTTGTGCATTTTAGCATGGATGGTGGGTGATCTGACTGCTTTTCAGTGGTAACTCGGTGTATGGAAACATAAATGAATATGTACTAATTAGAGGCGGACTCAGACAAGTTCAGACTGGTTCAGAATCTGGTGCAGAGCTATCCACGTTTTCTCCTGTAAAGTCATCCATGTCCCTTCTGTGTTTCTGTGTCAGTGCTCAGCATAATCATTGACTAGCACTGTGTAGCGTGAGAGACTACAAATTATTTGTGACCAATAAGATGTGATGATTCCATATAAATATGAAATATCAACCTGATTGGTCTTTGAATGTTTAATCAGAAGATTATAGTTACTTTTACTTGTTCAGGGACCATAAACACACTTTGTATTGATTCAGACAGAGTCAGGTATACAGTTTATAAAATGTATTTACCGTAAATCCTCTAATACAGGTCCGGGCCTGTATTTTACTCAAGCTCATCAAGCTCCAGGCCTTTATTGGAAGGAGGACCAGAATTAGAGGCAGGCCTCAATTTCTATTTGAGCAAAATGAACTAATGGTTCGCTGGAGTTATTGACAATTAAAATTGCGCCCATATTTTCAAAGTTAAACACATTTCTTTTAACAACGGTAGTTTCTGGCGACACCTGATTTGATAATGTTACTGTGGCCATGCTCAGGACGCAGATGTCTGGAGCACGTCAACAATCAGAGCTTTGCATGCGCAAGCTGGTTAAGGTTAGGATGGGGGTGAGGGGAAGTTTAAATTGCAAGAGGGTAAACGTCACAATTTGGTTAAATGTCTGTTTTATGGCGGGTGTCAGTACCGACGCTCTGGCACAGCGCATCGCCTCCCGACTCGCAGGAGCTCGTCACCTGCTGACAGCAGGCTGCTATCTTTTCCGAGGACTGCATCTTGCCGGTCATTATCATGTGACAGCGACTAGTCGATGACAGGCATAAAAAGTCACTATAGAGCGGTGAAGTCGACTAGTGACTAGTTCATACAACCCCTACTACTGCTCCCCAGTGTTCTGCAGCATAATCAGCACGTTCTCTTTGAACTTGATATCAAATTTTCGCCTCCTCTTCGTCTCTGCACGGTTAAAGTTACCCTCGCGGTCTATCACTGGCAAATCAAAAGTGAGATGGATGACACAACCACCCCCCATACTTGCTTGTTACCACAATCCACCCGGCCACAATAAAAAAACGGCCATTATTCACCTCCGCCGACTCCGACACCGGCCAACATGTGATACCCGGACAGTTAATTGAATACAGGCCAATATTAGAGGATTTACGGTAATTATTTTTCCTAAACTAATAATTTATACATGACAAGACATGAATAATGAGATGTGATATGGTGGGTGGGAAGTGATGTATGTGATGTGTGAGGTGGTGTGATGTAAGCTAGATGTGGTGTGATGCAAGCTGGATGTTTTAGCAGAACCTTCTTTGTATCTGAGAGAACTTGTGGAATCTGGGTGTAAAAGAATTTGTTGGTTGGTTATAACCTAGAGAGTTGGTTATTGATAAGAGCCATCAGATGTGATCTGTTGTGTCTACAATACCCTTGTGGAGACCCCCAGTGCGGATCCAGGACTGTCAGAAGTCAGGTGAACCTCGACATCAAGGTATCCAAAGCCTGTAGATTAGCTCTGATATGACCCATCCAGTCTTGAGGTATCTCCAGGTCACAACAGGAAGATGGAATGCTCGTTTGCATCCAAGGTGGATGTTTGGCTTTTAAAAGAGCCATCTGGCTGTGTCAGCGGCGTGCAAAGAGGCTTTTGACTGTATGTCAAAAGAGATTTCTCGAAGATGCTTGTTACTGAATTGGCCAGTTCGAGAGTCAGCTAGAAACAGAATTAATTGGGAAGTAATTCTTGTTTTAATAAACCACAATGTTATGAGTTTTGGCCAAGTTTGGCAAATCAGAATTTTATACGTTTGGAGTTTTACCAACATCCCTCAGAAAGCCACGCCTTCTTCAGATACGAAGAGTTTTAACACTTTGTGAATGAAAATTTTTCTAACTCTTATGTGAGGTGAATATTAACCTTAATGAGTGCCTTATTGTAATGTGTATGAGTGTAAATCATGGGTGTCAAACTCAAATTCACACTGGGCCAAAATGAAACTCTGGGACGAAGTCGCGGGCCACACTTAATATATTTAGAGAAAGTGACGGCAAATTTGTACATTTTCTTTATCAACATATATGCAATTTAGAACTTTTTAATTTGGAAACAAACTTATTTCTGCATTAACACTGAATGTGGAATAACCAAATTACACACAAGCAAGTCCATTTTAAATAAAACGCATCACTGGTATTCATCACTTGTGGTATATTCAGCATTTTTCAAATGTATTCAGGATTTATGTTTTCTTGTTTATTCATTTTTCTTATTTTTTATTCTCCTTTTTTCTCCTGTAATACATGTCATCACTGCTGTGACGTCTAGCTTTCCCCACTGAGGAACAATAAAGGGATTTTCTATTCTATTCATCCATCTGCAGCCTTTCCACTTCCTGTTTACTGTAGGTTAAATCTTTTCTCACGGGCCAACAACAAAATAAAAATATCATTTTATCTTAAATGAAAATGCAACATCTCACCTGTTAACTTTCATGTTTTGGAGCAGAAAACGAGCATAAATCCAACATATTTAAAGCT